AAAAAAAAAAAAAAAATCTGTATACATTCATTTGTATTTAAAACAACGAATGGTTTTTAAAACTTTGAAGCCAAATAAGAGATTAAAAAGTTGAAAGCAGTAATTCTCTGATGTATCCTCTAAGTCCGATGCCTGGGGGCAGTGTGAGTGGGGCCTGTGCAGTTTCATGTACAGACGTCTCTGACTCGCAATGGTTTCACTGAGAGGTCTTCTCCTTTGTTGATGCTGTGAACGCAGCACATTTTCAGTAGAACCCACACTCAGTTTTTCCCGTGTTCACAATGCGCCGTATGGGGCTTCCTAAGGGACGCCTCAGGCAGCTGCAGCTCCTCGACAGCCACAAAGGGGAAACAACCAACCCTAAGTGACCATGCAGTCAAGCTGCAGTGTTCAGTAGACTCTGCAATAAATGCATTTTCCACCTAATGATATTTTCGACTTAGGATGGGGTTTATTGGCTGCAGCCCCATCACGTCAAGAAGCATTTGTGTTTCTTTCCAGACACTGTCTTGTGCATGCTGCAAGAATAATACGTCAGTAAATATGAGATGCCCACCTTAAAAAACAAAACTCACATACAAATGGGATTTCACTAGATGCACAATTGTGTGCACTTTGTTTTTTCCTTTAATACATCTCGGTATGTTTTCATATCAGCACATTAATATCCTCTCTAGTCTTTAATGTCATATGGTATTCTGGGAAAATGTGTCCCACGATTTCTTTAACAATTCCTTTTTGGCCAAGTGTGGTGGCACACACCTACAATCCCAGCACTCAGGAGAGTGAAGCAGGAGGATCACCTGGAGCTCGAGGCCAGCCTGGACTATACAATAAATGAAAGGCCAGCCTGAACTACAAAACAAGACCATCTCAAAAAGGAACCCCTGTTTGGTGAACAGTTGAGCTGTTTTCAGCTTGACTATTACAATGCTACAAGCAGCCTTCACTCCGCTGTGAACTTTGCTGCTGCCTCCACTGTGCTCTGCACCCAAAGCCCTCCTCTTCCTTCTGTGCTGCAGAAGGCAGTAGCCTTCTCCCACTCCTCTGGAGGCTGCTGTCCATCCTCTGGGGTCCTGTGCCTCTGAACCTGTCACTTCCCGTGTTACCTTCCTTATTAATGCTCCTCATGACTGGCACATGGGACATTTTGTCTTAAGTGCTCCCTGCCATCACTCCAAGATACAAACAGGGAGCAGCAATAAAAATGAATGTGGCGTGGTACAAAATGTGAAGTTTTTACTTCAGTAGTCCTCGCCTCTGGGTCCTGCCTACCTTATGACATAGTATATGAGATGCCTACTTTCCAAAGTTCCCCACTGTCATGTCTAATCCCAATATCAGAGCAGTCAGATTGGTTCTTTCTTACATGATATACCTTCTTCCCTGGCCTCAAAGTGTCTTATTTTTAAGAAAGCTCTCTGTGACTCTAAGGATCCTAAACTGGCACCCCTGTTCCAGAGGTTACTGTCCTGTCAGAAGTGGTCATCCTGAGCATTTGCTTTTCACAATTATTATGCAAATAGGTAGGCTGTAATGTTCTATGGCTAACAACCTGAAAATGTCAGAACTTCAAGTCCTACAGCCATCTAATCCGGGTGAGTCACAAGGAACCTGTGACATAAGGCCAGCAGAATGCACAAAACTGCCCAAGCCCTGTGGAGACTGGGTAGCGGGGCTACACACAGAACAGGCAGGTTTCATGGTAGAATTCAATCCCAAAATGAGCTTGAGGTCTAAGTGCTTTGTGGGTCGGTACATCTGTGGACACCTGTTGTTTTCCCATTTGTTCTGCTGAATCAGAGACAGACACCCAGAATCCCTGAGGCTGATCCCTTGACTTTCACACCTGTCCACCTGTGAATTTTTCATTTGTGATCTAAGCTAGCAGCACTCAAAGGGCCTCTGGAAAACCAGGCGTGGCATTTCTAGGCTATGCTCTACAAAACAAAAACAAAGCACATTTTCCTGCTCCTGATTACCCAGGAAAGGCTGGTTTCTGCTCTCGTCATAAAGAAGAGCACAAAGTAAGAACTTTGAGCATAGAAAGAGAACATTATGGTAAGGAAAATGTGAGGCCCCTACACTGGAACCTGGATTCTAGGGGATTCTTGGCATGGATTGTTTGCATGTACTGCACACTGAGACCTCAGCCTGAAGCCTACTTCAAGGAAAGGAGGATCTGGTGAGTGGGCTGGGAAGGACTTGGGTGGGGGGCACTTAGAAAGGCTTAGCCAGGGCCTTTCAAAGGCAAAGAATGCTCTCAGGTTCACTGGATGCACTATGAATGATGAGTTAAAGAGCAAAACCTCAGACAGGAAACCAGTTTGGACGCCACTGCAAAAGACTGCAGGAAGGGCTAACCAGAACCTGTATTGGCTGGGCTGCGGGACAGACAAGATTTTTGAGTATTCAATATACGTACTTTTCTAGAGTCTACAAACCAGTAAGAAAAATATAAACAAAGAAATATAAAATTTTAGAAGAAAATGAGTGAAATCTAGAAACAGGCTATTAGAATCCAAAGCAGCCCCCTAAAATGTATGAGAATATATTCAACCTAACAATTAAATGAATATGAAACACTGATAATCTATTCTTACTTTCAGATTAGCAAAAAAAAAGGATGGCAATATCGAATACAGGAGCAGATGTAAGGGAAGCAATATTCTCATACACTGCTAGTAGGACTGCAAGTTATTTTCATCATTTATGGAAGTAATTTGGCAGCACACAATAAACTTGATAATGCAGACACCCTGTGACCCAGTAATTTCCCTCCTGATTAACCCATAGATGTTCTCGCACATGGACACAAAAGAGCATGTACAGCGGTGTCCATGACAGCACTGTTAACAATGGGCAAACAAAATGCTGCATAGTAACGGCACACAGAAATGAAATGTGCCCGTATGTGTATTTCTAAAAACATGCAAAAACTCCTATTAAATACATGTGTATATGAAAAAATTTTAGTAGACTTGAAAACAGTGGAAAAGAGAGGACTTTAACTGGGGGTTAAAAGATTAGTAATGATATGTTATAATGACATAAAAAGTAACTAGATTACAGGTTAACAGTCTGAGTTCAAGAGGTGAATGCATTTACATTATTATTCCTTGTATTCATTTATATATTTTACATTTCTAAAAAGAATCAATGAGTGTACGTGTAAAACAGAAGATACAAGGGCTATTGTGCTACTCAGGGTACAAAATCAATACTTCGTGGTGACTGGTAACACACGGGAGCTGAGGGTGATGGGGGTAAGGTTAGTGCGAACTCCCTGTAACTCTCCTCTGGGCATCAAAGTACTCACCGATTCTTTCTCTTTTGGCTCCAAGAGACATGCTTTGAGAGAGTATGGTCTTGGCTGGGCGTGATGAGGCACACCTGTAATCCCAGCTACAAGGGAGGCTGAGGCAGAAGGACTGCAAGTTAAAGCCAGGAAACTCAATGAGCCCGTCTCAAAAACTAAAATAAAAAGGGCTGGAGAAGTAGCTCAGTAGCACAGCACTTGCTCAGCATGTGTGAAGCCCTGTATTGAAACCCCAGTACTGGTGGAGGTAGGGAATCTCACAATACTACTGGAATAAATCAAGGTTACATGTCACAACATCAAGTGGCTGTGTGAGTTTACTGCAGCTCTATCATGGCTCACCCAACCGCTCCTGGGGTGATGCTAAGAGAGGAGGCAGGCCTGCACCCTCATGCAGACACCATCGTCTAGAGAGGCTGCCCCATTTAATCAGGAATGTGCCCCCCAGTTTTCCATCCTACCTCCCCTATACTGAGGCTGAGTACCACGTGCCATTTATCACTTGTGTGGACACTGGACAAAGTCCACTTTCTAATTTGTAGAAACACGGTTATTAAGTGGGTCAGTATTCATAAACTGCTATGTGCCTGACCCATGGTAAATTCAGTGCTTGTCACTGACATCACTGGAATTAAGAAATAGTCTTTGATTCCAAGTGTCTGTTAAAGGAGGAAAATGGGTCTGATTCACTTACTTATGTTACCTGCCTAACCCCAACAGGCATAAGAGTGAGATCCTCAGTTTGTACCACTCGAAGGCAAAAACCTGGAGTTTCACATGAAATTCCTCTTTCAAGTGTTCTGTCTCTAAAAGCCATCCAATTTCAGGAGGCCACCTGATCAGTATTTTGGTGTCAATGAAGCTTCGAGCTTGCAAATAAGATAGGAGAAGCCAGGTGTGGTGACACATATCTATAATCCCAGCACTCGGGAGGCTGAGGCAGGAGGATCGCTGCAGAGTTCGAGGCCAGCCTGATTCACAAAGGAAGATTCTGCCTCAAAAAAAACCAAACCAAACAAACAAACAGATATGACGGGCCTCTCAGAACTTGATAAAGAAAGGACCCTTGGCTGGGCTGTAGCTTAGTGGTATAGCACTTGCTTAGCACACGGGAAGCCCTAGGTTCAATCCCCAGCACGGCAAAACAAAATAAAACAAAAACAAAAAAACAACATCACGATAGGCTGTTGAATTCTGGGAAGAGCACTGCAGCAGTGTGAGGTCATCCTGTCCCCAGAAGGCCCTCATTAGTACTCTTCTCTTGCACCATTTGCCTTTCCCCTTTCTTACCAGCACTCCTTATCACACTTAAGACTGCCACCTTAGCCACGCTCTCCATGTAGACTGCTGTCACAGTGTGGGAAGGCTGTGTGACTGCCGGGGCAGCCTGAGGGTCTCTGACCTGCCTGGCAGATGCAGCAGGGTATGGCCACACATCACCTCTTTCCATGGATTCAGTGCAGTGCTTGCTCCAATTACAGCAAATTCAATTTTTGCTTTTTTGGAACTACCAGAAATTCTTTTCAATCTTTACAATCCAAGGTTGGCTGATATAGACTGAGAACCCCTGGCTGTGGGGGGGGCTGGTCGTGTATCACAGGAGAGAGGCAGGATGTTCGTGGTGCTCCCTCCCAGCTTCACCAGTGCTGACAGGGAGTTGGGCCCAGGATACACCCCAATACCTCACCAGCTGGGGTGACTGAAGGAAGCCTAGTTCTTTCCCAAACAAGCTTCTGCTGTTCAGTGCTAGCCACACAGAAGAGTATAGAACATCAATACAGGGTCACACATTTCTACTACAACCACAGCAGAGGCTGCAGAAACAACATTTATATCATCATCATCATCATCATTGAAAATAAATGCGTAACTGCTTGGGCCAGGAATTTAGCTCAGTGGTGCTACTGCCTGCCTTGTAAGCACAAGGTTCCAAGTTTGATTCCTGGTTCAAAAAAAAAAAAAAAAAGAATAACCAAGAAAAAATTTTTTCAAGCAACACGTCTATATGCCATGTACACAGTACCAGTACTCTTAAAAAAAAAAAAAGAATAACAGTACTCTCTATGCATTGTTTTGTTGTTTTAGTGTTGCAGTGCCATTCCATCAATTACAAGACCCTCTAGTGGCATGATAACCAAGTGTGTGAAACACGTAACTGCAGGCTAAGTCCCTAAACCCAGTATTTCCCAGAGTTTCTTTCTTTTTCTTTCTTTTTCAGAGACAGGGTCTTGCTATGCAGTTCAGGCTGCCCTTGAACTATGTGGCCCAGCCCAGCCTTGAAGTGATTCTCTCCTGCCTCAGTCTCCCAAGTGCTAAGACAATAGGAGTGAACCACCACACCTGGCTTCTTCTATTTTAGATGTACAAGTAATCTCTTTATGCCCTACTATCACTAACAAAGTGACTCTAGAAGAAATCTGAATAGCTATAGAGAACATTATCTATTTATTAGTTTTTAGAGTTATTTTCAATTTTAGATAGATGATACTGATTTCCCACTTATGATTATCTTAAGGTTTTCTTTTAAAATAAAAATACTAGGGCTGGGGATTTAGCTCAATGGCATCGCACCTGCGCAAGGTCCTGAGTTCAACCCCCAGTACCACAAAAAATAAAATAAAAATACTTAAGTTAAAAAGTGGCTTAAAGAATATATTAGTAATGTAGGAGATCTTTAGGTATGTCAAAAATCACAAATGTTTCTTGCATGTCTACTGGGGGAAACTGTCTTGTACTGTTCCATAATGAAATAACAAGAGCTGATTTAGTAAACATCAGATCTGCTTTTCCAGTTTTGCTAATTACTCCCAGGAAGTCTGGACTGCTTGACATCCTATTACTTTTGGCATTTTCCTGGCAGCCCCTGAAACAGACTCGGGGCTTTTCCCAAACATTTGTTGGGTTGTTCTGAGTTCAGCATCTGTGTGCAGTACCTAGTGTGGATCTTGAACTGCTGACACCCCTTTCCTTCTCCCGAACTTGTGCGGCCTGTCAGGCTTTCAAGCCAACTCTTCCCTGTCTCCTACAGCTGTCCTTGTCCCCTCTCAGCCACTCTGTATCACCTACACGCACACACACGCGTGTGGGCTCTTGCTGCCTGCCCCCGCCCAGGTCCTGCAGCAGATGGGTCTTTGTTGGTTTGCCTGAAATCACCCTTCAATAGCCTTGAGCTTAATTCCATGGTGTAGTAATCTCAGCAAAAACTTGCCATTTCTGGAGAATCTGAAGTGACTTTGCACCTTCTCAGCTTTTTAGTAACATTCTTTGTAACTTACTGATTGTTTAGTTCCTACTCCCCTGCCTTCTCAGGTATTGTGTGAGGCCATCTGCCCAAGACTTTCCCCCTTTGTGATTGCTGGGGAACTCTGGACACTCCTCTCAGCACTACAGCCTTGAGCTTTATTCTCTCAACAAAACTCATCTAGTGTTTATGTAACATTGTTTCAGCTGTTGTCCATCCCTTCTCCTCAAGGCCAGAGCCCTGTCCTGTTGCCTTTCACAACTCAAGACACTAAACAGAGCTGAACTATACTCCATAAAAGCTTAATGGAAGGAAGCCACCTTGTCCTATAGCTTTTGCTTCCTTATCCCCTTGCTCAAAAATCTTCCCAGACTAGTGCCAGGGATTTAGCTCAGTGGCACAGCTCCTGCCTTGCAAGCTCAAGGTCCTGAGTCCAATCCCCAGTACCAAAAAAAACAAACTTCCCAGACTAGCCTTTACAGTCATCCGGACTTCATTTTTCCACATTAGTTTTCCAATTCTTGCCGAGGGTTTTCAAGTTTCTAAGTCAGTCTTGCTTACATTACTCATTATCTTCTCCTCAGCCCCACCTCAGCTTTTCTCTCCCTCTCCACATATACATGAGCTCTTCAACATCTTTTACCTACTGTAGTTTCCTGGTTGTCTATTTCCATCCTACTGTAAACTAAAGTATAAACACCCTTGTACAAGGCCGAGACAGTTCAGTGGTAGAGTGCAGCCTAGCATGCTCCCGGTCTTGGGTATGATCCCAAGCATACAGAGAAAAAGGAAACCAAACTCTTACAGTCATGTTGTATATGTGTGAGATAGATATATCTACAGATATATTTATATATATATTGCACTTAAAGTGGGAGAAAGGGTATAAATACAAAATAAAGGGCAGATGTATTTGGGGGAGAAGAACTTGAGAAGCCACCAGCCCTTCTTGTTAGCATGTCAGACATATCTCACCCTGTAAACCAAATCTGTGTCCTTCTCCTACAGTTTACACAAGGAAGTGCCTGGATGCTTATTGAGGATTTAGATAACTACTTCCTTGTTAAGAAGAGATTTTTAAAATTGTGTTTTCATTATGACTTCATCTCCATTTATTGATCAAGGGATTTCTTGCCTCACTTAACTCTATAATCTGTTGCTCAGATTAGGAAAATGTGAAATCTATTGTTTGGTAGTATGAATACAGACTTTAAAGTGATACCTTGGAGGCTGGATGATTCAAATACTATAATCCAAGAAAAGCAACTAATTAATCATGCAGAATGTGTCTTATGCATTATTCTTTTTATGGAAAGCATAGAATGAAACGAACCTGATTAAATGTTTTGTAGACGTGCTGTTATAGAAACAGAAACTGTATAGAAACGGTCAACAGAAAGCACTAAGTCAGAGGACAAGAAAACAATATATACAAAAAGCCCTTACTAAACAAATATATAAGCCATTATTCATTTCAACACATTTTCAGTAACTATCACGTTCATTCTTTGTTTTGTTTTTTGGTACCGGGGATCGAACTTGGGTCCTTGTGCTTGCGAGGCAGGCACCAGAACCACTGAGCAAAATCCCAAGCCCTTGCTTTGTTTTTTGAGACAGGGTCCTGCTCTGTAGTTCAGCTTGGCCTCAAACTCACTCCTGCCTCAGCCTCCCAAGCACTGGGATTACAGGCGTGCGTCATCACACCTGCCTCATTTTTTTATGTAGAGAACAATGCTCATATAAAAGCAGTATAGTAAATTCTGAGTTGCAAGGAACAGAAAAGTGCTCTTTCAGTATTTCTTCCTTGTACTACCACTGCCTATAGCTAGCCTAGAAATTTCATGGATTATAACAGCCCTGTATGGTCATGGTTTCTCTTCTACCCTCTGTTTGTCAGCCCGCTGGCCACTTTATTCCTCATTAATTCTTCCTCCAGAGGGCTACCAGAGAAGAGAAAGGAGGTGAACCTCAGGTTAGTCCAGCATGCTTAGTGACAGGCTCAGTTAAATCTCAGATCTGTCCAAATTCTTTTGTGTCATTTAAGATTTTGCTCCATCCAATTCATTGAACACCCTTGGCAATTTAAGCTTGGACATCCTGGAGATAGACATTTTGGTTATTAACAGTTATTTAACAGTATTTGCCCTAACCCCAAAGACTTTATGGGAAGTTAAGATTCACTGCCAGAATGTCTGGGAACAATAATCATCACCAATTACACAAGAGAATCTTAACTGTCCAGTTTACATTGCTTATTTTGTCTACAGTTTACAATTTCCTGGAGGAGTAACATACCCCTTGTATAGACTCTGACCAGTATCAATATAAGGAAAACCCTGGCTAAGAGACTGCAAGCACAAGCCCTTTACCAAGGAGGGCCGGAGGCTGCTGGTACTATATTAGTCTATGTTGTCCACGGAAGCCTTCCATGAGAACTTTCTTGATAACTCGTGAAAAACAAAATGCTTTTGTGGTTCAACGACTTTACTTCAAGGTCAGCTTTTTCTTTCTGAAAAAACAGACTCAGTGTAGCCAGGCATGGTGGTGCACGCCTGTAATCCCAGCACTCGGAAGGCTGAGGCAGGAGGATCGCTGTGAGTTCCAGACCAGCCTGGGCCACAAAGTGAGTTCCAGGTCAGGCTCAACTACATAGTGAGACCCTGCCTCAAATCCGCCCCCTCAAAAAAAAAAAAAAAAAAAAAAAAAACTCAGGGCCGAGGATTTATCTCAGTGGTTCTAGAAGCTGTAGGTCTTGCAAATGCAAGAAACAGAGTTCGATTCCTGGTGCCAAAAAAAAAATCAGAAAAGTATGCTGGCCACCTTAAGTCACCTGAGTAAAATACTTCGGGCTACGGATTTAGCTCAGCCGCCTGCCTCACAAGCTCAAGGTCCCGGAGTTAGATCCCCGGTACAAAAAAAAAAAAAAAAAAAAAAAAGACTCGGACAATTAAGCTTAACATGGTTTCTCTTATAAGAAACAAATATAAACTAGGACGAAAATAAACGATGCAGTGAATAGGAAGAGAGATCATTTGCAAATGGAGGAAGTAGGGGAAGGGGATATAGAAATATCCACTCCCCACCAGGAAAGTGACCATCATGTACGGACTGCAAATACGTACTAATAAAAACTAAAAATTGGAAGAAGAAAAATAGATGCGTCTAACACTTTAAAAACGCTCGCGGCCCGTTTGATTGGTCGCACAACTTCTCGGTCACAGCAACTGGGCTACCTGTGGCACAAATGGGGCACCACAACCCACGCGCCGGGGCTCAAGCCCAGGGCAGCCGTGAACGCTGCTCTGCTGCCGCCTCCATCACCCCCACCCGGCTTCCGCGTCCCCACTTCCTCCCGCCCAACTCACCAGCCGAGGCGCGCGGCCTCCACACACGTGACGGGGCGGGGCGGGCGGTTTTCTTCCTCCCCCCCTTCCTGAAATCCGCCTCCAGCTTCCTATGGCGCTCCCGCCAGAATGACTCCGGTACCAGCCAATCAGGATGCGAGTTCTCCAGTAACGCCCGCCCCCTCTGGGCTCCCGGTCCTTCCCGCTCACTCCGGAGTCACTTCCGAAGAGAGAACCGCCATGAAGAGAGAAGCGGGTGCCGCCCACCCCTGCTCCGACAGAGTCCCCGAGTCCCAGCGGCACGACGGCAGCCACGCACCCACGCTCTCCATCCACAGCTCATGCCGCCGTCGCCAGCGGCGCCGACATGACAAGGCGCTGCATGCCCGCTAGGCCAGGTTTCCCCTCGTCCCCAGCCCCGGGGTCGTCACCCCCGCGCTGCCATCTGAGACCCGATGGTACCGCCCCTGCCGCTGCGGGAAAGAGAGCAAAGAGTCCTGGGGACAGGTACCGTGCCGAGGGCTGGAGAAGGGGCCGGGCCGCGGGGGCAGGGTTGAGGGAGGCCGCGGACGGCCGCT